GGATCCTGCTCATCTTCGAACTCGACCGAGACATTGTTAAGACTGAACTGTGTGGAAAATTTCATCGTGATTGGACTCTCCTTTCAAAAGTTATCGTGTAAACGGACGGACGGACACACTGACCGATTCTAGAGTGTACTCACTTTTTGAGTACACAAAAACAAATATTTATCCGGGGCGAAACTGAAAAAATAATATTTTGTTTATTCATCTAAAAAAAACTCTTGAATGAAATTACATATATCACTATCGCGATGCTATATTTAACTTATCAAAGAAATTATTGATAGCATGTCATCCAAATGAATTTTTTCTTCACTTACAGTACTCTAGCTTATAAGTAAAAATTTATAAATAAGAAAAAAATCACACGAAATTGTTATCCACAGTTTGACTTTTTCAAAGAATACTGTGAATATTTCTCTTAAAACCCTGACTGTATTCTACTCAGATAAAATAAAGTTTTATTGAAATGGTTTAATTGATCTTCACTTAGTAATGGAAGTCTATTTCAAATTGCAATAAACTCCACATATCATCATTGACATCATTTGCAAATGACATTCGTTTCTTTTCGACAGGTTGCAAACTATTATTAGACACAAGACAGTTCCAAATCAGTTCTGATCTTCAGAACTTGTCCAACATTTCTTTCGATAGGAACTGATCTATGTCATCAGTTCATTCAAAATGAACTGCTGCCACTAGACGTCTCATTTTCACTTACCTATTAGATCTACGATTGCTCTATTTCGAGTCGTGTTTCTGAACTGCACAAATACACTGGAATGAAGCTAACGCAAACTCAATGCTAGGATAGAAGAGTTCGATTTTCTAGATTCAGTTCTAAAAAAGAACTGTTCCTTGAACTGGAATCTGTCACTGGTCCAGCTGTTATTCACTGAAAGTCTAGTAAGAGAAAAACTATAGGGGTATCCGGGCCTTTCGGCATCTTCTTGACTTAAATATAATTGAGTGATTCCATGAGGTTTATACCACTTTTTGGAAGAGATCTTGGATTTTCATTTTCGTCTTCCAGTTTGTCCGAAGACAGTCTGAAAAGCATCCAGCAAAAAAAAATTACGAAATTGCCCAATGAATTGTGAACACCCGTCTAAAATACGAGGTATATGTACAATTTATTATAGTCAGATTTTTTTTCCATACATGACCTAGTCTGTATAAACCACGATCGATTTTGTTCAATTTAAGATATATTGTAGAGGAAATAGTTTTAAGAATTTTGGCGCAAGCCATTCTCAAAAATGTTTTTTTCGTTCTTGAAATATTTGAAACTTTCTGAAGGTACTATTCAGAAAAAAATGCATTTTTTGTGATAATTATATCTCACGAAAAATAAGTTGGTTTGGCTTGAAATTTTCGCTGTCAATACATATCAAGCTTATGTATTTTTTATTAAAAAATGAGCTTAAACGAGTAAACTATTAATAATTTGATCAGTCAATCAGATATACCAGAAAATGGTCATTGTCGATGTTTTATGCATATACATATCTCATGAACTAGTTATTTTAAATTAAACTATCTAAAGAGCCAAGTTGTTCACCAGAGTAATTGCTGAATGAGATCTCTCTATAGTCAAAATTTCAGTTCTCTAACATTACCACTTCATGAGATGTGTATAAGCACAAAACATCGAAAATGACCATTTTCTGGTATATCTGATTGACTGATCAAATTATTAATAGTTCACTCGGTTAAGCTCATTTTTTAATAAAAATTATATAAGCTTGATATGTATTGACAGCGAAAATTTCAAGCCAAACCAACTTATTTTTCGTGAGATATGACTATCACAAAAAGTGTATTTTTTTCTGAATAGTACCTTCAGAAAGTTTCAAATATTTCAAAAACGGAAAAAACATTTTTGAGAATGGCTTGCGTCAAAATCTTAAAAACTCTTTCCTCTACAATATATGGTTTATACAGACTAGGTCATGTATGGAAAAACAATCTGACTATAATAAATTGTACATATACCTCGTATTTTAGACCGGTGTTCACAATTCATTGGGCAATTTCGTAATTTCTTTTTTGCTGGATACTTTTCAGACTGTCTTCGGACAAACGAGAAGACGAAAATGAAAATCCAAGATCTCTTCCAAAAAGTGGTATAAACTCCATGGAATCACTCATATATGTTCCATATAGTAAGGTAATACTTTTATAAACTTCGTGAAGATTTTGTTCTTCAAATGGTTTCTTCTAACTATAATAGGGCACAAACATTTGTCATGGCTGAAAAACAAATAAACAACAGAAATAATACTTGCAACAGTATTTCATATGAGTAATGTATTTACGAAAAGATATACTATGTAGAATGTTTGTTTCTTTGTCACACTTACATGCATTTGTTTATCTTCGACTGTTTTATTACGAAATTATACGAATAACCTTGAATACAATTGTAAGAAAGAAGAGATACAGTCTTTTATTTGATCAAGTTAAACTTGTTTATAGAACATAGAATATCTATTGTCTTAGAGATGAAATACAACACAAGTACGAAACAAAAAAAAAATGAACTATACAAAAAAAAACAAAAAAAAGTAGAAGAGAGAAAAGATATTTATGGGCATTTTCTATCAATAATAAATTTTCCGCTTTCATCATATTCTTGTTTTGAAATCCACATTTGATGAAATGAACCTAATGAAGCAAGAATTGATCCACCTATCCATGAACTAAATCGTCGTTCACTAAGTGATGGTGGTATATGAACTTTCATACGCATAGCTTGTGGTAAAATTTGTGAAAGTTCACGATGAAGACGTTCAACAAGACCAAGAAAATATGAATTACCACCAACAATACTTATATTTGAATAAAGTGATGAACGTACATCAGGATCACACATTGTTACAGAATTTGTTACTAAACGAGGAAGATCAAGCATTGATGTTAATTGAACACCACCACCTTTAACAATTGATGGATTAAATAAACTTTCACTAAATTTAAACAAAAAAAGAATTTTTTTTCTTTTTATAAATCTTTAAATAACTTACGGAATACGGTAACGTTCTTCACCAAAATCAAGATTAAGACCATTAGGAAATTCATATGAAACACGTGGTAATTGACTTATTTCACTTTCATTATAAGGTGTATCAGATATTTGTAAAACTGTTTGTGCTAAATCTTGTAAAATTTCTTTAACCATAAATTTTTTATATGAATCAGTTATATTTTCAGGTAAATTCGCTCTCATTGTCCATTTTGGTGGTTCATATGGTGGTACTGGTTCACGTGATTTTATTAAATAATGTGGTACTATTTCATGACTATTATTATCAAGTAATTGTTTAAGTTGATTCAAAATGAAATCTCCACCAAGTGGTGATTGTACAATAGCTTTTTGTAAAACCATACCTTCATGTACAGGTACAGCTGTTGTATGTGTTGCACCACAATCAAGTATTAATGCTGTTGCTTTACCTTGTGCAAATGATGATAAAACAGCATTTTTAGCTAAATAAAATGCTGGTATTTGAAATTTTTCAAACATTATTTCACATAGTTTTTCACGTTTAAAACGTTGATTTATTGGTGGTTCAGACATAACTATAGGATGATATTGTGGACCTTGATCTTTATCACATAAACAATCAAATGTATGTGACATAATTTGTTCAAATAAATCCCAATCATCAATCATTCCATCTTTTAAAAATGATTGCATATAAAGATTTGAACGTGGTACACGTAAAGAATTTAAATCAAAAAAATATTTTTTCTTTGGCATTGTTATTGATTGAGTATCATCAACAATCATTGCATTATCTTGATTTGTTGCTTCAATTGTTTCTAATATACCAACATGACTTGGAAAATCATATTTTGGTGTTTCTTCACCTGCATAGCCGGCACGAACTGTATGAGAACCAATATCAATGACTAGGGCACCGACTTCATCACTACCTGAAATTAACAGAATATTTATTATGTTTGTTGTTTTTTTGTTCTAATGCTTACCATACGTTCCACTACTCATTTTCTTTTTTTAAGTTATTAAATCTACAACGTAGAATAAATAAAAACTAATTAATGAATATATTAACAAAGAAAAAATGAATTTCATGCAGATTTATACAAAATATATCAATGAAATAGACGAATGAGAAATAAAAGCAATAGGAATAAATATATTTAATCATCTCTTATTGTTCGTTGGTGTTAATTTTGCAGCTGCTTGTTCCCAGGCATTAATTGATTGAGTATAGAAATCAACTTTTTTATTAGCCATCGAATAAAATAAATCTTTTAATTCTTTGTCTTTTGATTCAGTCCATCGTTGAATATCAGCTTTAATCGTTTCATTAGCAATCGTAAGTTGATCAAACATCTGTTCATTATCACTTGTTGTTACATTATCTGATAATTGTGTTCGATGTTTTAAAACATCTTGAACAATACCTGTAAATAAAACATATTCATTAATTGGTTCAATAAATTTTGTATTTGTATATTGTAATAAATCATTTTGATTATCAACAATTGTTTGTTGAGCATTACATATAATATCAACAAATGAATCATTTTCATCATATTTTCTTTCGACATCTAACCATTGTTTAAATGCTGTTAATAAATGTTCTTCTTCTATATTGGCTGCTACTTGATCCGATTCAATTTTTCGTGTAAGACGTTCAAGTTTACGTAAATTATCTTGTAATGTTTGAATTTGATTTTCTGTACGAGAAAATTCACTTGGTATTGGTTTACCACGACCCATAGGTTGACGAAATGGATTTGAATTTGATGAAGCAACTTGAGGAGTTAATGGTGACGATGGTGATGGTTGTTGTTGAGCGGAATGAAGTGTATCATCATCAGCTGATAGAAATAATTGTACATATGGATCCATTGATATAACTGGATTATCAATAATACGTCGAAGAAAATTTTCTAAACCTTAAATGAAAACAAAAAATAAAATCTATTTTTAACTTAAGATTGTTTTTTATTTTTGTTTTTACCAGTCATACGTCGTCGAATAAATTCACCATCATCAGCTACAACATGTAATTTATTTGAAAATGTATGTTTAGACGGTAATGGTGATATTATATTATATGGATATTTAATATCTAGTAAATTTTTTAACCAAACAAAATCATTATAACGTCGACGTACATTCAATTCCTTTATTTTAACACCATCATTAAATGTTTGTGTTGTTATTAAATACGTTATAAATGAATCAAGATTTGATTTATGTTTTTTTGGATCACAAATAAAAATTTTCGTTTGTTCACGATTTATTTCAGCTTCTTCTTTACGTTCATTTGTTGATGGAAGTATCCATTCATTATGACTATGACTTATTGATAATGACGAGTCTTTTTCATTTAGATCAGAATCAATTGGATCAGCTGGTAGTAACTGATTATTTTGATTGAAATTCAAATCTCCTTCTTCTTCTTCGCGTAATGCTCGACTTAACGGATCATCCATGATTGAAAAAGAACCTTTCAACTAAATTAATATCTGATCGTTAATAAAAAAAAAAAAAGGTCGACAAAAAAAAAAAAAAAAAAAGAAGAAAGAACAAATGAATCATTGTTTAGAGAATTTTAATTGACCCATCTCTTTTAAATGCAAAAGATGTCGCTAAAGCTTTAAAACAAGAAAAATTCATTCCTAGGCTATTGATCAACATGTAAAGATAGTAATGAAGTTTTACACGTTTCCTAAAAAATAACTGTTCATGAAAATAAATATAAATTTTATTTTGTATTAAATTAAACATCCGAAAATGCTTCCAAATTTTGTTTTATTAACGTTTCTTTTTAGGATTTGCACTATCCTATATTTACCGATCTGTCGTTTATCTGCTTGTTGATAAATATCGATTTGTGTGTATTTTATTTGCAGAATTAATTTTGTCGAAGATAAGTATATTTCTACCATTAAATGAATATATAAATCATGAATCCGATGTCGCACTGATTGTTTCCAAGTAGAGGTGTAAGCAGTCGGCTTGAAAATAAATATGTCAGTTCTAGCAAAAATGCCGACTGCCAGCCATCGACTTCAGCAAAAATCAGCTGACGGCTTACACCTCTAATTTCCAAGTACTTGTCCTCAGCACAAATATGTCAAAAGAATAGAAGAAGTTTATTAATAAATAAAACATATTCGTCTTTTTTATGATTTATTCAACACAGGAATCAATAATTGTGGTTCAAATAATTTCATCTAAACTGCCAGCATATACTTGAAACATTGTCTAATCTACGTTGACAAAATTTTTTCTCATAGTTTTGTAACTGAAAGTTTATTCAAAAGTACACTGTTGAAAAAAAAATATAAGAAAAAGTTACATGAAATAAAGTGTTTTCAAGTGTAAATGAAAGTTTTTTTTCCATAGATTATATTAAAACTTATCATTCATATTCATATCAAGTGATGTTACTATTCAGAGCATTTGTGCTAATGTTTAAAATCTTATTAGAGTGTATCAGAAGTTCTGAAGGAATTTCAAAATGCATTGTTCTCTCATTCAACAAAGCAAGCTCATTGAAACTTTGGTAAGTTACTGTATCTACTTAATGTTGAATAATTACAATGTTTCACCCTAGTAGCTTTTCAAATGGATGAAAAATCGTAACACTATCATGCATAATTTTTGTTTTCAATTTTTCCAATGATTTTTTATAATACACAACAATGTTTCAAAATAAAAAAAATTGTTATATTAAGTTATCAATATCTGTTAATTTGATTACCATTCTCATCGATTACTAGCTTTAATCATGTTGGTATTTTCTATATTTAATATTAGTGTATTTCCACTCTCGTAATTTTTCTTTGAATAGATTCCAAATATTTTCTATAGACTACACGTCGACTAGTTTGGTAACACAATTTATTGATTTAATTCAATTGACAAAAAATAGGTTTAATGACATTCAAGGCCATCCACATCCTTTGTTTAGGAACGTGATCATCTAGAAAAATAACGCTTCATCACTCACTTAATTCTTAAGCTACTTTTTCTGCTACAATAGTTTGAATCAATTTCGCATATTTGTCACTTGTAAAATACATTTTCTTACAACGATCACTATGTTGTCCTGCGGTAAACTGTAATCATACCTCCATAAAAATTAGTTTGTTTTGAAAATGAATCGTAAAATCGATCATTTGTCGTCTTTTAGAAAATATCCCTTTTTTCTTACTACTGAAGATTCGTACGTCGTACCGCATTGCGTATTTGATTTACATTCGAATATCGTCTAGTTATTTTTGTCATTAAATCTGATATAGCGCAAAATTTTTTACAAGATGATATGCTTTGAAGCTATCAATCACTGAATTAAAAACAAATCTAAATCAGTCTTACAGAAAATCGCAGAAAAAATTAGCGCAAATAGTTCGATTTGGTGAAATCAATTGATATGAATATCAATGACAAATCTTATTAGACTCTATAGAAAAAAGAACTTCAATCTGCACCCAAATTACTTTATTTGACGTGATTTATTGTGTTCTTTTCAACAGTGTATTTTTACATAAACTTTGCATTACAAAACTACGAAAAATCTAGACTTTTCTGATGATTTAACATGAAGTTTTTTCGAAGTAGATCAATGCAGTGTTTTGTTCTTTTAGACGATGTTTTCTAAGAACGCAATTACTGATTGCTATATTGAGTAAAGCATGGCAAAGACGAATATATTTATATGTGACACAGTAAATGGAAAATGCCAAGACTTGTTATAGGCACTTAGAGACTGAAATTGTGTCTAAGTATATCAATCATTAAAAATTTCTCAATTCTTATCTTCGAATAGAATGAAAAGAAACCATGTTATTGTAACACTTTTTTCATCACTTCAGCTTTTTGATATTACAACTAGTTCTTTTTTTTAATGAAAAACTGTGTCAAAAATTAATGGTACTGAGTTTTCTCAATCTTTTTCTGTTTCTCACACAATTATGAGATTCAGCAACTGAGTACGATCGTCGTCCTATTTTCTTTTATGTCAATAAACAGTTTGTTTTTTATTGGAATAGTTGAGTTGTAATATCAAAATATTGTTCCATAGTATTTTTCTAATGTTATGAATAGATACACATCAGTTAACAGATGAGAGAAGTTCAGAAATACATTTTCTAACTCATGTGCACGATTGTTTTAAGTAGTATTTGTATACTTTTGTATCATTGTCGAAAGAAAAAGTATAGAATAATTAGTTCTTCAAAAGGACTTCTTAGCCCCATAAGCGATAGGTCACATTTTCATAAGCCATTTTAAGATACATGCAAACTTCATGAGCTGTTTATACTGCATATACCAATTTCATAAACCCTTCAACGATTTATGAAGCAACGTATAATTAACCTGGAGGTGTTTATAGAGCTTGCATGCATTCTAGAAGAGTTAATAAAAAATTGATATGGGATTTGTGAAGTCAATAAATCCTTTGGTAGAGTTCATTATTCTGTACTTTTTCTATAATGATGTTTGAAATGAAAAAAAAAACGACAAATTTTACATTTTTTACTTTATACTGCGAAAGAATATGCACTACTTGACTTTTTTAAACGATCATGACGTTTGATCATTTTGCTCTTTCCGAAAGATTGGAACAAAAAACAATCCATTTTCTGTTTTTGACATTTATTGAGCATGACACTATACAGAAAATGTGTTCTACAGATTTGTCTTTCTTAGTTTCATCTGTCTTATGCCACAGAAATCTGTGAAATAGTTTTTAAACTACTGTTCCTTAGCTCTCTATAGTAAATATTGCTTTTGATATTCGCCACATTCCTTAATATATCTTAAAGATAGAACAATTTTCGTCTTCTTTCAGACAGCAACATTTCGACATAGTCAATCATACGAAGAGAAAACTGCTATATGTAATATATCTCTAATAAGTCCATATTATGAAAAGATAGTTAACATCTTGCATAAAAGTAATCCTAAATATGTCGATACCTACTATCATATTAAACACGATGAAAAGATGAAAGTGAGTAGAAAATTTCGTTTGCTGCTTTAGATGGAATTTCGATTAACTAGTTAGTGTCATTTGAACTAATCGATTCTACTAGCATATGTTATGATGACCTGCTCAGAAAAATCTCTTATATCGTGCTATGACTCTATCATCTCTCTTCTTATGATGATAAGCTTCGCAAAGTATTTTTTTTTTGTCATTGAAGTACCGTTTATACCGTAAGCAATAATCGTTACTATCAGTATTATCAGCAACAAACATAATTTGAAAAAGTTGTTGATGCTGACTTTAACCACTTTATCCATTGCATTTGTCTTGGTTCTAGTTGCTTGGCTTTTATTGCTCACTAATCTTCAAGAAAAAGAAAATTGAAAATAATTCGAACTGTCTCTTAAATCTAGATTGTCACAGCCGTGAACTAAATTGATACATCATTTTATATTCACTTTGGTATTGTACCTTTAATCGTGTCAAAGAAATATAAACAAACTGAACGAATTATCGTTTAAAATGAATAGTATCCTATGAAACAGGCATGACATAAAAATCCTTTGATATGATGTAGAACTTCAAGCACTGAATCATTCATGAATAATAAATGGACGTACATGCAATAAATAACACGTTTAATAGAATATTTTCAAATTAGTAGCGATGTCAAAACACCTGAATGCGTATTTTATCATAAGAGAATGAAAAGCTCTTTTACTAGCATTTTTAATTTTTTTCATTAAAAATGTCACTTTTAAGTTTTAGAATCTTTAGAAAAATGTAAGAACTAATACACGTAATCGAAAAAATATAGACAAACAAAAGCAGCTAGAAAATAGAAATTGCCATAGAGATACAATTTTTTTTTCAAATTATTTGAGGTATTTAAATAATTATTTTGTTTTCAATATAAAAACTGATATTGACTTTGCATTGAATTCATTTATTGGCCAATATGATTATTTGGATGAATATAACATATATGAAGACATTCATATAGCGAAGATAAAAATGACTTGTTTTTCTCAACTGGAAATGATTCAAACGCGTGAGAGCACGATAACCAGAAAAGAAAATAACTTCCTGACTATTATCAACAATGAAGTAATTAGAATTAAACATATTAGCAGTTTTCCGGATGACATATTGACTTTTTAGCATCGATGTATTACGCATTATTTCAAAATTATAAACACTGCATGTTTATAGCGATAGGAATATTAATTATAAAAATAAGTATTTATGAAAGAGTATTTGACAGAGCAATAGTTGAACAAAAAAATATTTCACATTGAAAATAAACGAATAATCTACATCAAGATTCATTTATTCTTGTTCAGGAAATTTTATTGTTTTATATTCCATATGTGTATAATAAACATTTTATATAGAAGATATCAATTATTTCTCAAAAAGAAATATCTTATGATACGAATGATTCAATCATTTTACTAGTCAACAATATTTTCTGTTCATAGATTAATTAATATGAAATCATCTTGACTTGATTACTAGCGATTATGTATCAATGAAAATTTTCAAATAATGTCAAATAACATAACGAGAATAAATAATTTTAATACTATTTAGACTGATATATTGAAATGAGTTCAGAAATAAACTTTATCAAAATAAAATTTACTAAGATCTCTAACAGCACGATTGATCATCCATTTCTAACTGATTAGAAAATTTTCCTATAATTCTGTTTTCGATTTATTTTATTGAATATCTTTAACTATAAAAAAAAAAACAAACAGAGAAAAAAATCAAAATAAAACAATCAGAAAGTGTTAAGACATTATTTGATCTAGATATTGACCAAACAACAATGGATTGCCTTTTTCATATTGTTTAAATTCATGATTAACAAATTTTTTTAATGCTGTTGCTAATGTTGAACAAGTACAATGAAATAAATAACCTTGTTGTTCCATTTCATGAGCTATTTCTAATTGATGATTATTCATAAGTTTTTCATTAACAACAACTAATAATGGTTTATGAATTTCAAGTGTTTGTAAAATTGTACCTGCACCAGCATGACTAATAACAATATCAGCTTGTTGTATATCATTTTCAATTGAATCTTTATATTTATAATATTCAATAGGAATTGAAATATTATCATACGATGGCATTTTACTATTACCTATTTGTAAAATTAGTTTATCAACATGTAGACAATCAACAAGTGTCTGAAGTACATTGGAATCATGAACAATAGTCTCAATTAATTGATCAAATTGGGTTGTACCTACAGTAACAAAGGCGCACTTTCCCATAATTCATTCACTTCGTAATCTAGAAAGATATGTACATTATTGTATCATACTGTCATTTTTTGTAAAGGAATGTAAATAAATAAACAAATATACATGACAAGTATGGCGGACGGATTTGAGCATTATTCACTCATATAGATATAGTTCTGGATAATTATAATAAAATACAATTACAAAAACATTTGTCGCGTGAATGTCTATCTAATGCTACTTTAGCAGCATATTCGAATACTTCTCGAACGCCTTCACGTGTCTTTGCTGAACATTCAAGATAATTTCGAGCACCAATTCGTTTGGCACATAAAAGAGCATCTTCAGTTGTAATTATTTTTTGATTTTGAGATTTAATACGTTCATGTACAGCTGGATCATCACGTAAATCACGTTTGTTAGCAATAAGGAGTATAGGAACATTATGACAATAATGTTTTACTTCAGGTCCCCATTTGTCTAATACACATGTTAGACTATCAGGTGAATCAAAAGCAAAACAAATTAGAACAACTTGAGTATTCGGATAGCCAAGCACACGAAGTCTAAAAAAAATACCAAAAAATAAAGATAAACTAAAAATATTCTCTATTATCAAAAAAAAACAGTTTTCATATTAATCAAACATTCCTAATATTTCAATGATACTGTAATATGTCTATTTTTCTTTTCTCAATGGTTTCTTTTATTCATTGACATCTTGATATTCTTTCTATTTCTTAATGATTTATCTAAATACTTACTAAAATTATTTATTCATTCTAGCCGTAGAAAATGTCAAAATTGCTTTTGCAAGTTCTTAACGAATTCAATCTAATATGAATGAACTTATAAGTAATACGTCGGATGCACACTATTAACTGTAAGAGGATTACTCGCATATTTACGCTTTTAAAATAATTCTTTTTGGAAAAATTTTCATGTTTAAGAACAATAGAAATGTCAACAAGAACATTCTAATCATGAGAAATTAGTGAACTAGTTATTTTCTATTTTCAAACTATAGAATGCTATTTGCAACATAGGCAAGCAAATGGATTTTGTTTTCTCATTAAAAATAATTAATTTGAAATGTCTCGGAAATACTTGTTCTTCTGATTGAATGGTAACATAAAATAAATGTATTCTTCCTTTTTTTTTTTTTTTGTTTTGTTTTCTTGGCAAGAAAAACTCTTTTTTTTCAAGAGTAAGAACACTTGAATCAATAAATAATTAATGTATCTCTTACTTTCACAACATGAAACTAAAGAGAGACAAACAAAAAAGAAAAAAAATGAAACATTATGTGAATCAGAGCATCTAGTTAACTATCATTAATCGATTTTGTGTGTGTGTGTGTGTGTGTCTTTCTATTTATGGTGATGACGATGCCTAAAGGCAAATAGATTATTAGGCACATCTCAAATTTATTCATAATAATGTACCATTCATATCTAATAATCAAAGATTATATCATGTGCAACGATCATTCTTGACGGATATACAGATAGTTTAATTTTTAACAAGAATACATAAGTACCTGGCATATTCTTCTTGTCCAGCTGTATCGATTAATAATAATTCAATACGTTTATTATCAACATCAATGACATGAGTATTTCCTTCAAATAAAGTGGGTACGTAATCTTGACAAAATCGATTATCTTTGAATGCGTAAAGTAATGATGTTTTGCCAACATTACCATTGCCAACAACGACTAATTTCTTACGAACTAAATCAACGTCAGAAGTCATTTGTATCAGTTGTTATTGTTGTTGTTGTTGTTCTTATTTTTCTTCTTCTTTTTCTTTGTCGTCTTTTTGTTAATTCATTATGTTCGTCTTCATGTAAGTAACCTTAAAAAAAAAGGAACAAGAGAAAAATCCGACAAAAATAAGAAACTTTGTTTTTTCTTTTTTCTTTCGCTTGTTTTCTATCAAAGAAGTGCAAAATTCATTTCTTTTCAAATAAAGCAAAAGGAAATGTTTCTGAAAAAGATGATGTTTGATTTCTATATACCTGAAAAAAAAAACATTATATGAAGCGAGTACTCAATATTAACAACAAGAACACTATATAATTCATTTCAAGAATCGATAAGAAGAAAAAGAACAAAATATTGACGCCATACACGGATTAAAGAAAACTGAAATGCTACAGGTAAACGAAATATAAGGTCAACAGGTTATACGAAAAAAATAAGAAATAAAGAAGAAAAAAAAACAGAACAAGACGAGAACGACAAATGCAAATATAAAAGTAAAAGAAAAGTGTAAGCAACATAATCATATTCGGATTCCTTTTGCTGACTTTCTCGTTATATCCACATAATTTTTATTTGATAGTCTCATTAACCAACAGTGAAGTAGAACAAGAAAATGACTATTAATTTATAAGAAAGAAAAAAAAAAGAAGAAATAGTAAATCAAAACAAAATATCAAGTTTATAAGATATGGAAAGATAAGACACATACGTCAATGACAATATCAAACAACGCATATGTGAAGACATGAGTCTAGATGTATATCTCAAAAGAAACAACCGATTTGTACAATTTTGATTTGCACTTAACATTCTGATTACTTATCATATATGAAATTCGTGCTTATAAAGCTACTGTCTAGATTAATGTTGAGAATGACTTCCTTTAATTTTTTCGGCGTCTTTTTTTATTTGTCCTCAATCGATAAATTCTTCTTGACTTTCTTTTTTTCTTATGATAGTTTTTATGTTGGATCTCGAAAAATTCAATTAGACAAGAGAAAGATCTGGTTCTCGTTCAATCAACTTCCTTCTTGTTCTTCTTTCTTCCTTTTTTTTTATCGTTTATTCTTTTTTTCCCATATGTTCTCGATCAATACTCAAGACAAAGATCGGTACGGATCATTGACATACCAAAAATGATGAGCGATGCTACCAATGAAAACAATGACAGCAAGAGACCATTCTTATAAGTGGCATGTTTTTATTATTCGTGCTGATAGTGATGCTTGATTGCATAGAATAAATGAAAAGAAAATAACGAAAATAAATCACTTGAAAAATTATTATTACGTTTTTTCTTCTTTATTATTATTATTATTATTATTCATAGAAAAAATTTCATTCATCCTATGGTTCTTGTTTTGTTTCTATAAGGTGTTATTTATTCAAGGATTAAAACATTTCAGCATATAAATATATACTTGTATATGTGTTTCATGCGTGATTCTTACTAACATCTCGCATTGATTCTCATCATTGTTAGGCTCTTGAAAAACTTTGTATTATAATACTTACTATTCTTTTTTTTGTTAGTAAAATACACTCACAACTGCCACTACGGGTAATAGCAACCAATGAACAATAATAATAGCGACAGAAGTAAGAGTAAGAGCGGATGAGAAGAGAGCGACGAGAGTAATGCTCGGCAGCTATGTTTGATTCCGTATGTCATTGCACACATTGCTACCAGTTTCTTCTTCGGTTCTTTTTTTATTCTCATCGTCGTTCTTTTAGTTTTTTCTTCTTCTTGTATGTCGTTCAACACATTTATCTTATTTCACGCAGAACTCTTACCTGTCTGCTTAGTAATTATCACTTCATACCGACGACTGTCAAAAAAGAAGAAGAGACTAAATATTCCTTTTATAAGGAAAATTTACTGAAAAGAAATAATTTAATTTTGTTTTTAAAATAATGAATACGCATATGATTTTTAAAAAAAGTTCATTTCTTTTATTGTTACCTTTTATCAAACGATAATCTATGTAAAAGTTTTCCATTATTAATTGAAATAAAAGAAATCTAAAAATAATAATGAATAGTAACTATTATTGCGTCTTTTCATATGCATGAAATGCAATGAAATATATAATCGTGATAAGGCTTCAAATAATTTAAATTAAAAAGAGATAAGCATAAGAGAAATACTTAGATGAAAAAAAAATCACATTTAAAATTAATTAATATGACTGTATTTGATAATATTACATGTATAATAGTCAATATAATTAAACCAAGAAAAAATAAAAATTAATATTATAATAATCTCAATAAAAATGATAAAATTATTGTAGATTCAGTTCTATATTTTATTAATCTTATGTAGAGAAAAATAAAAATAATATCTATACTAATCATATGTATCAATTAGAATTAAACTCAATCAAAATTCAAATTCATCAACTATATGATTGAATAAACATTTGATCTATTTGACGAATTGTTATTTCAGTTATATTCAATACAAAAGTTCCTACTAATGTTGTTCCGGTGTTTTGTCGGATGTTTTTGTTTTATATTAGTTGTAACTTATAGTTTTTATTAATGAAAATAAAGACAAATAAAATAATAAGAAAATACTTGCATAGTTAAAACAAAATAGTAATTGATGTTTTATATAGTTATTGATCATTTATCTTTATTGCAACATTCACATAGGTACGATATACTATTATTATTTTCTTATTCGTATTCGCTGTTGTCAATTATTACTCTACTAAACAAACATTATCAAGACCAGATAAATTTTTATTGATAATAGTCAAAATTCTCTTGTTTTAATCATAAGTATAAGATCAACATCATTTACAGTAAATATCTAGAACAGTATCTAATATCTTTATATATAGCTTATCGAAATCAATCTATTCGTTTAATTTAGTAATATTTCAACTGATATTAATCATTTTCAAAATCATATAGATGATTTATTTGTTTTCTGGGATTTAAACATAATCGAACAAGTGCGGAAAAAATGAACTTGAAGAAAAATTTTCTTTTCCTCATAAATATTTTAATATTGATGATTCTATCTTATTCTTTTCAACTCATATATTATTTAAGTCCACATATACATATATATTTGATTACACATCACGACCCTATATCAATAAATAAATAGAGAAAGAAAAAAAAAAAGACAGTTTTATCAAATGAGTAATATATTATTTTTTTGTTCTTTTCTGATGTATTTCTAGAAAAAAGTGACATAAATATGTTTGAGAATAGAAGATAAAAACAAAAAAATCAAATGAACGTATTTATGCGTACAATAACATACACAAAAAGTAGAAATGCGTTACATATGTCAACTTGTGTGTAGTTCAATAAAAAGGCAAGAAAAAAGAAAAAGGTTTTGATCTACTTTATATGCATATACATATGTATATATCTGAACAAGGGTACTGGATAACATAATCGATTTATTTCATTTTAAGGTTTATCAAGTTGTACCATGAGTAAACGAAAACTTATCGATGATGATGATAACATTCTATTACATTCTTGTGAACTTATTGGTAATTTTAAATATTCTGTTTCAGTATTATTTTGATTAAATTCATGATGATAAATAATTGGTTGAATTTGTGATGTTGATGGATCACCATGTGGTCCTTTGAGTATAAAAAATTTTAAATCCATTGTTTGACTTATTTTAGATTTAAGTACTAATTGATAACTTAATGAACGTATAGCTGTTGTGTGTGGATGTGGTATATTATCATTAATACGAGCACGTACTTGCCATTGATATTGTAATGCTGTAAAACGTGATGTTTCAAAATAAAGTTTAGCAACAAAATCATCTGTTCGAAATGGTTTTAAAATAAGATCTATACAAAAATAAAAAGAAATTAACTTTTCATCTATGTTTTTCTTTTTGTTTATTTTAGCAAATCTATGCTTTAAAAGTTATTTGACAATTATCTATTCAACTGAAATAATATTTCCTACAAAACTTTGTTAAAATAGTTATATCTACAAGATTGTTAAAAGAAAATCTAGGCAGTTCTATACTTATTACATACATAATAATACTAATTTCAAGAATTGAATGTCAAATGTATCGATGAGAATTCTGATGTATGGCAAAAACTTTAACGCAAGCTCGACAATGGCTTATATTGTCGTTAATTAAGCACCAGGAAAAATAATTATTACTTGAAATATCATTATCGTGAACCACAATAAATCAAAATAATGTAACTCTAAAGTGGATACAAGATAGTGAGCATTAATTACTAGTCACTCTTTTCATAAATCAATCTAAAGAGAATTTTCATTATTTTCGAATTTAGACTGTTTTCTGTTTGTAAACAATTTTCTTACTACCGAATAATTTCTTTACGTTGTAATATTGATTTTTCTGGAAAAAATTCTTTAATTTGAATTACTTACCACTAACTCCAATTTGATTGAGTGAAAGTAAATCAACTACTGTTTCAAGACATTTTTTTTCTTCTTCATAAGCACGTTTTTGTGCCCCTATTGTATCAATTAATTCTAAACCACTTTTAGTCGGATACTGACATACAGCTAGATGTGATGATAGCGTATGAAATGGTCCATTCCAATTACAACCAAGTAATGAATAATCACATACTGTAGGTCTATAAATTAATAGAATGTTTTTTTCTTACTTTATTATTATACAGAGCGGTCCATAAGTAGCTTTATGACGAAAGATTTGAATATTTCCACTCTTTCACTCTATCGGAATCTTTTTTTCGGTGTTAGAAGAGACTTCAGAGTTTTTTTTTCCATAAGAACTTTATGACTTTACAATTTATAACATGAATCGAAAACTGTGAAGTATATTTTTTCGAAACCTCTATAAAACTAAGCATCTGTAAGATATAGCCAATGTGCAAGTCAAAATTACTCTTGCTTCCACTTCATAGTACGTCAGAAAAGACAGATATCTATATTGACGACGACGAGAAAGAAAAAACAACTATATATCGGATAATGAAACACAAGATCGAATATATTCATTAAAGGACGAATCCATAGATAGTGGGGAACGTTTTGATTCTAGGGTAAACTCAAGGGGGAACAAACTGATTACTAATACTAGTAATCAATTTGTAATCACTAGTAATCACTAGTAATCACTAGTAATCACCAGTCCCTAACCGTGGGGTCCTCAAGTCCTATTTTTGAAAAAAAAATTTTTTTATGCAGAAATAGGCTTTTTGACAAAAAATAAATTTTTTTCAAAAAAAAATTTTTGCAGCAAAATTTTGGGGTGTTTTGGAAAACATTTATTTTTTCTCAAAAAGTCTATTTCTGCAATAAAAAATTTTTTTTTTCAAAAATAGGACTTGATGACCCTAGGGCTCGGGTTGGAGACAGAGATGGTTACGAAACCGTTACCAGTTACCCGGGAACGTAACGGTAACTTCCCACCCCTAATCACTAGTAATCATTGGTAATCAAGTAATCAGTTTGTTCCCCCTTGGGTAAACTCAACATTTTTTTGTAAGATCCTCATCTGGAAATCAAAAATGAAAGAAAACAAGTTTTCGAATATCACTTAGATGAAATACAGTTAGTGTCTCTTCGATCGAACTCCCATTTAACAATGTGTAACAGTGGTAAAGATCAGAAAAAAATGCGTCACTTGCTTAAAAAAACATGCAATCAGCAATCATTTATGTTCATTGAAATGCAACCTTTGAAAGAAGAGATTCTAATTTGCTTTATCAGAAAAAAATCCAATAGCTTAGTAGAAATGTTTCACAAAGAAAAAAAGATGTTGCATTACGGACTTCTTCACTATTGAATATGTTTAATAGGCATATAACCTTAGTCGTCGAAGGCGAAGAAAACTTTTGGCAAATTATTCTAATTAATCTGGTTGAGATTTTTCGTACAATTGTTCTTCCCTTGTAATCAAATATTCTCACGTTAATTCATTGAAGATGTATGATCTAATATTTACTTGTAAAAAACTAAATGTTTCTTCAAAAACGTTTTCAAAGTCTTCTTTATTTAGAATAGGCTATTATTAACTGCCGGAAATGGCGAAAGATACTGGTGTTTGTACAGAAAAATGTGATGCGTTGTTTATATCTATCAATCTAATTGAAAGAAAAAAGCATTTCAATCTACTCTGATCCACCAGACGAGAACCTAGGATAGGCTTTCGTTTTCCGAAGCTTTGTAGCTTCGCTACTTATGTGTATTGAACATGAATTGGTAGTAGATAAAATATGAATTGATTTTGTAACAATGGGTCATTTTTCAGAAGACAATAAAAATTAAACTGTAATAGAAAAGGATTACGATAGTTTTCGTCTATCTAAGTTTTTATCTATTCCAAAATAAGATGAACTTGAGTCTGCCCAAGTGTTTACCTGTCCTGGTACGCGCCTACCCAGACTTTGTGGTTCCATCACCTATGGACGAATGTATGCATATATGGATCAGTTAGGGCCACCTGCAACACTGTAAAAGATAGAAATTCATTATTGAAGTCAATGATGATACTTCAAAGCAATATTGTTCTTATGAGAAAAAAACTGAAGTGTTCGCTATCATAGAAAAAACATAGCCTCATAGACTGGAGATATCCAAATTTTTCATCATAAAGTTACTTCTGGGCCATCCTATATATATAAATGGAATGTTCCAAACCGATCAAGACAATTTTGTGATTGATGAGTTTTTATTTCTGAACGCAAAAATATTTGCAAACAATAATCACATTGTATTGGTAATTCTGATATGGTTTTTTCCACTGCTAAATTTCTCGTACAATTCGATTTAGAAATTTCGCAACGACAATTGGGACTAAAAAATTATTGTCTTTTGTCAAGAATTTTTTTCTCAGCATGAATTTTTTTTTAACATACCATGTTGTCTGTTCATCTTTTAATTTACAATCAGCTAATAAATGATTAAAACATGAAGCACACATAAGATGTCCATTAATACACTGGGGAAAAACAGATCTTTCTTTATTTTATTTTCAAAAGAAATAGTTTCTTGATTCTTACTTGAAATATCGGTAATGTTGAAAGATCCAAACAAATACAACATGATAAAATAGAACTAAGGCGTTCTTCAAGTAAACGAGGTTTATCATTTGTTGTTATTTTACATTTTTTTGTTGGTGGCTCATCAATAACAGTTGAATCCAACATTGGATTAGTTGTTCCTGTTGTTAATAATATTGTTTCATTTGTATCAGAAGATAGATTAACTATTTCTGACGATAAATTTTGTTGTAGATCATTAGATATTAGTGTAGCTATTTCAGTCATTTATTTAAATAGATAGATTTAAAACAGAAATGAAACGAATGAATACCTAAGTTTAATTTTATAAATTTAAAGAGAGAAAAAGTCCACGTGATAATGTTCAGTCAGCTGACGTCACATCATCTTCTTCAATGTAAAAATTCATTGGTTAATCCTAACCAATTATTAAATATGATTAACTTTTTCAAGTATTTATTTTTAAAATTAATATAAGTTAAATTTGAAATTTATTTAATTATGAAAAATACCTATTGTATTTTCTTTTAAATATGCACAAGTTATAAAATAAACCAATAGCGTTATTGGTCGAGTTCGTTCACCTATGAGAGTAGCGCAATTGCAAAAGAAATAAAGTGTAAAGAATCTTTTCTTTGATCGACAACTTCAATATTAATAGGTCTACCAAAAAAATGTCAATACCACAACCTCCAGACGGTATTTATTCTCATCTTCTAATCTAGATATTCTAAATATTATTCACTCATTAGATCCCGAAACAAGAAATATTATTGAAAAACTTGCTAGTTTTGTTGCTCGTATGTTTTTCAATTTTATTTATATTTTCAATAATCTTTTGCTTCTTTTTTTCTTTTACAAATAATAGGTAATGGTCCAGAATTTGAAACAGCAGCAAGACAAAAACATGAAAATAATCCAAAATTTGCTTTTCTTCACGGTGGTGAATATCAAAATTACTATGCATTTCGCGTTCAAGCCGAAAAAACTTGTAAATCTACTATTAAGAATCATTTATTATCTTCATTTATTTGTTTTTTTTTTCAGTACTTCAACAACCACCCAATCCTTTTCATTTACCACCACCAAATATTCTTGCTCCACCAACATCGATGTCTCATCATTCTTCTCGACCAACATTACCACCATTTCCTGGTCCTCCTCCACCACCTGGAGCAAATGGTCCACCTCCACCTTGGACAGTATGTTTATATTTAATTCATTGAAAGCAAAAAAAAAAACAATTACTAACTTTTTATTTTATGTAGCAACCACCACCACATTTATTTCCATCAGGACCACCTCCACCCCCTATGCCAATTCCACCCATTCCACCACCACCTGCAATGGTTATTGAACAAGCATTTCAACAACAGATCCAAGCATTACAAGAACGTTTAAGACAAAGTGAAATAAATCTTGCTGCACAACGTGATTCAATGCAAATAAATAAAAAAGTATTTTCCTTTTTGAAAATTTCAATAAATTTTAATGTTTTCTTGTTTTTTTTCTTTTTTTTCTTAGACAAAAGTTCAAGAAAATATCCGAGCTGCTAGACAAGCACGTATAGCAGCACAAGCAGCTGAATCAAATATTAATATGAATGAACTTGATCAAACAACATCATCTATTATTGAAGCCTGTACAAAAGATAATATTACAGTAAAATTCTTTTCTTTTTCTCTTGATAATCAAATTAATTATATTGAAAATTTCTTTTAGAATGGTCGAAATTGTGTGCTTAATTATAGTCAAACAGCAATACAAGCAGAAACAATTAGTTTATATTTAATTGATCGTATATTAGCACCTGAAGCATCATTTGATGCTCGTCTTCATTTAATTTATCTTATTAATGATATACTACATAATTCGTTAGATTGGTTTTTTTTTTAACATTCATTTATTATGCTTGTTTTATTCTAGTATTCGTAAAGGCAACGATGAGCTTCGTATACAATTAAGCAAAATTATTGTACCAATCTATTGTTTGGCTGTTGATCAATCAAATGACGAACGTAAACAAAAATTGGTCAAGGTAGAGATATTAAAAAAAAACTGGATAAGAAATTTTCATGAAATTTTATTAAACATTTATTATAAAATCTTTATCCACATCCTTTCTCATACAGTTACTTGATCTTTGGGAAAAAAACAATTATTTCAATAATGAAATTATGGAGGTAAATGAAAATTTTAATACAAAAACAAAAAAATTATTTTATTCATTTTATTAGAAACTTCGTGATATTCCACAAGCAAAAAAGCATTTTGAGGTAAAAGAAAAATCTTTATAATCAATATTTTCATTGAAGAGTTTTATGTATATATATATATATCAAAACAAAAAGGATGCTATTCGTACTGAATATGCTCCAATAATTGAAGCAATTGAAGCTGGTCTCGATGAAAAATATTCTCAACTTGAACGACAACATGCAGAATTTGCTGTTCATATTCAAACACAAATTAATCAAATTCAACAACAAATTGTTCAATTACATCAAGTTCAACAACAAACACCACCACTACCACCACCTCCACCACATTTATTGAATAATACTTTTGGTATTTTAAATTTTCAAATTTAGAATACATATAGGGATGCATCAAATTCCTATAACATGATGTCAAAGATGACACTTTCTTCTTTGTTAAGAATGTAGTTCTTGTCAATTGTTTATATCAATCCTGATCAACCATTTTTCGGATCCATTCAAAGCTGTAGTTAAAATTTCTAAAATATAAAACAAAAATTTCGAAATTCATCAAAAATCCACATTTTATAGTTTTTTTTGATCAATTTCGAAATTTTTGTTTTGTATTTCATGAAGTTCAACTTCTCTATTGGATAGAGCGAAAAAAAAAATGATTATGATTGTTATGAACAATCTACAGAAACTACATCCTTAAGAAGAAATAAAAGAGATGTTATCTTTGACATAATGTTCTAGGAATTTGACTTGCATTCTTATATAAATAATAAAGAAAATTTTTAGGTCCACCACTTCCACCGAATATGTTAACTCGAATGACTCCTCCATTACAATCGAATAACTCCAATCAACAACAACCACCTCCTTTAATGTCACTTAATCCATTTAACGAAAATAACCGAGACAATCCTAGTAAGAAAATCTTCATTTATCAATATAATGAATTATTGTATTTTAAAGATCTTCGTCCATTGTCAAATATCTATGAAAATACTCCTCCAGCATTAATGTCAATGCCTATTTCTCATTATGATAATAATAACAATAATAATCAACATGATGATTATGGAAATAGTATTAATACACAAATCGAACAACCATTTGACTTATGTATGGTTACGAATGATATACCTTATTATGATCTTCCAGCTGGTCTTATGTGTTTATTAGTTAAAGTAATACTTAATTTCAAATATTCTTTTCTTTTTTTTTTTATTTATTATTTTGTTTTTTCTTTGTAGAATGAAGATTGTGATTATAATCCAATTGATCCATTGGATATGCATTTACCACCATCGGAACCAATAACTGAACGATTATTAGCTGCTGTGGAAAATTTTTATATGCCACCAACACATGAAACCCCTAGAAATGCGTATGTTTATTTCTAGATAATTATTATAGAATATTAGTTTTTTTTTTTAATTAATTTTAGTGAGGGTTGGGAACGATTAGGTTTATTTGAATATAATAAAACAAAACATACATTTAAATTTTCTAAAGATCGTGTTCAACGTCTTGGAACAAATACAAATAATCAAGATGATATAGAATCTATGAATAAAGATAAACAACAAAATTCTGATAGAAGTCGTTCAAAAAGTTCATCAGGTTCATCATCAAGATCATCATCATCATCATCGTCTTCGTCTTTATCATCTTCATCATCATCGTCATCATCATCGTCTTCTTCATCAAAGAATAAATCACATACAAATCAACAAAAAAAACGATCGAGGTTAATGAGTCATTTTTTCGATTTATTTATTTTGTTTTTCATAAGAAAAATTCTTCTATTTTTCATTAGATCTCGATCAGAATCACCTTCATATAATAAACAATATTCATCAAAAATCAATCCATTAACAAGATCTCGGTCTCGTAGTACATCTCCACCATCATTTACTTCAGCATATGCAACTCAAAGGTAAATTATCAATGTAGTCTTAATCAAAAATTTAACATATATATATATGCTAATAGAAATCTTTTATTAAAGCTTTTCCTTCATATCGGCGTTTTGAAAAAAAGAAAGTTTTTCTTAAATTTAACATTTATGCTGAGTTTTTACAATTACGTATGTTCAATATTGACTGTTAGTGAAATCAAATTCGTTTATTCCTATGTATAATACCGAGTGAATAATAATAAAGAAAGAAAGAAAACTACAATTAAAAAAATAAAACACGATAGAATTGCTCACATTTCAAATATGAGTTGCTATGTGTTTGTAGTCAAACAACATATTAATTGTATTATGTTATCATGTAAACAGAAAAGAGCAAAAGACAAGTACAATATTATCTCCATATAACAACATTCCTTTTAAACTTTCTTCTCCGCTCAGGAAAAGTTCAAATGAAAGATATTGTGAAGTGTAATCTTTCATAAACGATATGATTTTATTTATTTGGCATCTCATTATTTGCCAATATCTTTCGATGGTTTTGCGTCAAGTTCTACTTGAAAATTATGCTTTTCTTATCGCGCGTTCCAGAATTTTCGAAACAGTTTCATTGTATTCAATCAGCTTTTTTGTTTGAAAAAGTATAAGAAGCTGTAATACCTGATAGAGCCCGTCTTTTGAATTAAAATTTCTATTATATTATATAAAAAAGCACTTCTATAAATAAACGGCCATTTTTCAAGGAATTGAATTTGTCATCCCCTTTTTCTTCACATAAAAAGATTGAAAGAAGGATTGTGCCAGGTACTGCAGTTTAGTGTGCTCTTTCAAATAACAAAAACTAAATCTATAGAATGAGAGCGTGCCGAGAATTTCCAGTTGTCAAATGAGCTATTTTTAACTGTTATCTGTTGAATATCTCACGAAAACATCATTATTTAAGACTAAAAAATTTAGCATAGCCTATCAATTACAACCCCAATATAACTTGAAAGATTCATATGAATTAAATACACTTATCCTACGATCAATTTTCGAGGAGAGAAGAGACCTTAAATTCTATTTCATTAAATAAATAGACGACTATCAAAGTCATTGTTTGATAGATTTTTTCAAGAAAACGTACTAATGTCACAGATTTTGACTTTCATCAGACATACGTACGAAGTATTGAGTGATAAACTCAATAGTAATCTCAACACAATTACTTTGCCAGATATGAAGTAAAATTTTGTGTAGAAACACGACATAAATGAGAATATTTAATTTCTCTCATCTCGTCTGAAATTATGATTATCTGATCGAAAAATAACTGAAGGAATATTTCTTATTATTTAGTTCAAGTTCAACAAGTGGAACACATCATCGTTCACATCATCAACATAAATTAGGTGATTCAAATGTTGGTCACAAACTTTTACAAAAAATGGGTATGAAAATAGAATTTCCTAATAATTCTTCTAAAATATAAACAAATCTATATAGGTTGGCAAGAAGGTGCAGGTCTTGGTCGACGTGAACAAGGTATTATTGAACCTATAATAGCAAGTACAAGTGTAAATAATGAAGGAAAAAACGATCAATATAAAGGTATTGGCCATGAAGATGATCCATTTGAACAATTTCGTAAACAAAAAGCCAAAGGTTATGTATCTCGTTTAATTGCTGCACAAGCTGGAACAGCATCAAGACGTCATGAAAAAACCGAAGAAGATGTATCATTACCAGATCGTCCAGATGAGAAAAAATAAAATAAAGAATTTAAAAAAAAAATTTATTAGTTTTGTTTTGTCTTGTATATCATTCAAATATTATTCATCTATGAATCTCTCATCTTGTTTCATAACTTAAATGATTAAACAAAATTGTTTTTAGATAAAAAAAAAAAAAAATAAATAAAAAACATCATGGTTAAATTACAACGCGTTCAACGTCCAAAAACACATCGTGGTAACCGTGCATTAAAAGAACGTGAACCAAAATTAATTGAAAATGCTCGTTCATTATTATGTATACGTGGTAATAAAACAAATAATATGATGAAAATTTTATTAAAAAATCTTCATCTACTAAAAACACCTTATTCAAAAATGTATCAAAAAAAAAATCTTGATATTTATCCATTTGAAAATACAAGTAAATTAGAATGGTATTGTCAAAAATCTGATTGTTCATTATTTGCATATGTAACACATAGTAAAAAACGACCAAATAATCTTGTTTTAGCACGTTTACATAATCATATTGTTATGGATATGTTTGAATTTGAATTAAATCATCAAACATTTCGTTCATTAGATGATTTTAAATGTATTAAATTTGCTCCTGGTAATAAACCATGTTTAATATTTCATGGTGAATTATTTGATAATGAACTAGAATATAAGCGTTTAAAATGTTTTTTTATTGATTTTTTTCGTGGTGAAACAGATATGAAAGAAATTGATCTTAATGGTCTTGAACATGTTATTACATTTACACTCGATATACAAACAAAATTATTATCTATACGTGTTTTTCATATTGAATTAAAAAAATCTGGTCATCGTATACCAAGAATTGAATTAAATGAAACAGGACCACATTTAGATTTAATTATTCGTCGAACAAAATTAGCATCAGATGATTTTTATAAGAAAACACTTAAACAACCAGCTGCAATTAAAGAGAAGAAAGTTAAAAATGTAATAACTAATGAATTAGGTACAAAAATGGGTCGCATACATATGGAAAAACAAGATTTTAATCAATTGCAAACAAGAAAAATGAAAGGTTTAAAACGTAATTTAGCAATTGATAATGAACAATCGCAAGAAAAAAGAAAAAAAATTGATTCAACTAATTAAAAATAAATATCTTTGTTTTTGTTTTGTTGTTTTTTTTTTCTTGTTTCGAGAATAAATAATAACTTTCGGCTATGTTCTCGATTTCAGATGGCATCAAATGAACAGACAACATCAACAGCTAGTAATGCTAAAGTAACTTTTAAAATAACATTAACATCTGATCCAAAATTACCATTCAAAGTGTAATTAATAGTTTTGTTTTATTTTGATTAATTTAATTGTTTATTTTTAGTTTAAGTGTTCCGGAAAATACACCATTCACTGCTGTTCTAAAATTTGCTGCTGAAGAAGTAATGATGAACATTTTTTTTGTTATATGAAAGAAGTATTTTATGCAATTGAAATTCTTTAGTTTAAAGTTCAAGCAGCTACAAGTGCAATTATTACGAATGATGGTATTGGAATCAATCCATCTCAAACAGCTGGTAGGATAAAAAGAGTTCTTTTGTTTTTTAAAATTAATAATACAGGGTGGCCCAAAAGTCACGCACCCGACAAAACATTGAATATCTCCATTAGGGCTTGACCAAACGGGATGATTGTTTTAGTAGTAATAGAGGTATGTACAAGCTTTAAATCCATAAAGACATGTCTAGGAAGACCCTTTGTTAAATATCACTACTGACCTCAAGAAGAAAAATTTTACTTTTTCATAGTTAGAAAGAAAGTCACTTTGCCAAAAAAAAATGAATATCTCCACTATGGTTCAAGCTAAAGAGCTGATTCTTTTATCAATGATAGAGGCATGTCCAAGCATTATATTCATAAGGATATGCTTAGAAAGATCCTTTGTTAAATATATTGTTTTCTATCCTATCTGTGAAAAAGTAAAATTGTTTTGTTGAGATCATTAGTGGTATTTTATAAAGGCTCTATTTAAGCTTGTTCGTATAGATTTAAAGTGTGAACATGCCTCTATTATTGGTAAAAATATCAAGCCGTTTGCTTGATCCGTAGCGGAGATATTTAATTTTTTTTAGGCCATATGCATGGCAGCCTAAAAGTCAGTTTGCCAAAATAAAAATTGAATATCTCCATTACGGCTAGAGCAAACGAGCTGATTTTTTTAATAATAATAGAACCATGTTCAAGCTGCATATCATAAAGACCAACCTAGAGAAACCCTCTGTTAAGTCTATTGTTTTTTTCTTCTATATGTGAAAAAGTAAAATTTTTCTTGTTGAGGTCAATAGTGGTACTTAACAAAGAGTCTTCCTAGACATGTCTGTATGGATATAAAGTTTGTACATGCCTCTATCACTGGTAAAAAAATCACCCCGTTTGGTCAAGCCCTAATGAAGATATTCAATGTTTTGTCGGGTGCGTGACTTTTGGGCCACCCTGTATTTTTTTGTTTTAATATTTATTTGCTTTTTTTTTTTAGGAAATGTTTTTTTGAAACACGGAGCAGAACTTCGAATTATCCCACGTGATCGTGTTGGTTATTGAAGTCGAAATTTAATTTTAATCATTTAATTTTTTTTTCTTTCTGGGATTTACTTATTTATCTTAAAAACTAAATAAATCACTATTGAAGAATCATATGAATTTTTTCAATTAATTTCGTTTTCTATAAAAAGAATTTTTTTCTTGTCAAATAGATGAGCACATCATCTTCGTCTGAATCAATATTGCCAAAATTACCAGAATCTGAATCAGATGCATATGAACTTGAACAAGAACATGTTCATAGAGTTTATAATAAAATCGCTCATACCTTCAGTGATTCTCGCTATAGACCATGGCCTCATGTTGCTAAATTTTTACAAACTTTTTCCAGTGGTTCATTCGTACTTGATATTGGTTGTGGAAATGGAAAATATATGAATGTTAGAAATGATTTGATGATGGTAGAAAAAAAAGAATTTTTTTTTTTATTTCTATGTAATATTATTTGTCAAAATAGTAGATCGGTTGTGATCGATGTGAAGGTCTTTTAAAAATATGTCGTGATCGTCATTATCAAGTATTTCTTTCTGATTGTATGAATATACCTGTACCAACAAATACATTTGATGGTGTTATATCTATTGCTGTTATTCATCATATGAGTACTGAAGTAAGCAAAAAAAAACATAAAGAAATTAAATTATAAAAATAAATTTTTATAACAAAAAATAGAATCGACGATTAATAGCCTTACAAGAAATTGTTCGAATATTAAAACCAAATGGTCAAGCATTGATTACTGTATGGGCAAAAGAGCAAGAAGTTGAGAATAAAAAAAGTATATATATTAGTAAACATGTAAAACAATCTCTATTGAATACGTCTTCAATTGATATGAATAATGAAACAAAAAATGAATTAATTATTCATACACCACGTACAGCATTTCAACGATCTGATTGTCTTGTACCATGGGTAAAACCAACAGAACAACATTTAAGATATTATCATGTTTTTATTAAAAATGAACTTGAGAATTTATTGAATCATATTTCAAATATTGAAATTATTCAATCATATAATGATGATGGAAATTGGTGTGTGATATTTCGAAAAATTTCATAGAGATTTGAACAAAACGAAAGTCTTTTTTTATGGACAAAAACAAGTGATAAACCGATTTCATGTTTATGTTTTTTTTTGTTGATCAATCAGAAGAAAAAGACTAATGTATCAATTCTATTTCAAAAAATCTCTTACACTAAATTCATATCATGATCGAAAATTTTAACTAATGATAACATGTGATAGGAAAATTTTTTAGACAAGATCGTTGTTCACTTTTGACTCACTAAAAAGTACTTCCGACGAGGTAAATGCTATCAGTTTGTACTCTTGTTCAATATGAGTTTAGAAATTTCGTTTTGAGTTTTCTTCGAGAGTAATGAAATAATCTTTGAAAAGACCAAAAATTAGTGTGCATGAAACTTGTAGGTTGACATTTTTGGTGACAATATTTGTTCGTTTTGATCTGTTTGAAAGCATTTTAGTAAAGGTCGCGACCAAAATTTGAACATGGGCTTAGAAATGTTGTGTCTATTTTTGTTCTAGGTTAGTAAGAAACTTGTTGAAATATCTGAACGAATTATTTTTAATGGCGAGCCAACAGATTTTTGTTTACTCTATCAATTCCTTTTCGAACACAGTTCAAAAATCGTGGGAGTCAGTTGCTTTTGTAGAACAAATATTGCTCTACAAAATGTGATAGCGAACTAAGCTGTATATTTCATCAAAGTAAGATTACAAGGATTTTTCAAGAGCTCATCCTAATGTAAAACAATTGTCGATTTTTCAAAAATGAATATTTAAGAAAAATGAAAAATGACGTGTCTTGTCGAAAGACAAAAAATAATTTCAAATAGTGCATTTTTTAGAATAGCTTCTGATGTACAAACTAATATATAAATAAAGATCCTTAGTTTTAGCTTCGAATTGCAATAATAAAAATACAAAAATGGGCAAAAGAGTTTTTCGTTTAAACTATTTTGTTTTTGATCATTTCAAAGACTTTTACTACTCTCGAACACAAATTGAGGCAATGTTTTTCAGGCCATGCTTGAAAAGAGCATAAAATTCTAGACCTAACTCATAGCTCTTGGCTCATCAAAATGACGTCAAAAGTAAACAAACATCTTTTCTAAAAGCTTCTCGACCGGTCATGATTGATTTGTTGTTCCTAATCAATTTAATTTTTATTATTTAACTTCAAATAATAAAAGTGAAGAAAGTAAAACTTTATCAAAGTAGAAAACTTTAAGTTGATAATTTATCATATTGTGAAACTAAAGAATAAATTAATGCATTATTGTTACATGCTATTGATATTAAATGTACTATTATTGGTTTAGATAAAACAATAGAAACTTCATGTAAAGATCTTTTATCGTAAAATTTCTATTTGATCTCTTTTTCAGCATGAGATAAGTTTTACCTTGTGAAATATTATATAAGATAAGATAGTAAATAAATAATGAGATGCATAAATTAAAAAAGAGTTCATCATAAAATGGTTGTATCAGCTGATTGCGATATTAGTCTTGTTGATATGTGAATATCAATAAGACCATGAGAAAGTTTGAATTATATATTAAATATTTCTTTGAAAAATCTTTTTCTTTTCATTTAAGCATGTCATTAATATCATAGATGTCATGAATAGTTTTTGCAAATGATATGATGTAGCAATAGATATAAGGAAAAAAAAACACCTTTCTTTTATTATGAAATAAAAAAAATCTCTATTAAACTAAATAATAAATAATTGGTGCAAGAATAAAAATGATTAAAAGACGAAAAATATTTGTAAAAAGTAATAATTTTTCTCGTTTTAATCGATTAGAATCATAATGTAAACCAAGAAGATGTTCTTCTTCTTGGTTTCTATAATCATTATCATGATATTGTATACTTGTATTATATGTTGTTATTGGCTGAAGACTAACTGAATTAGTTGCTCGATTATATTTTGGAACTGATGTAGCTAATGAATAAAATGGTGTTTGATTGGATGGTTCAGATTGATTTTCATTATTTTGATCACAAGTAATTGCAAGTTCGACTATTGAAGATGATGTCATTGGATTTGAAAATGAAGAAGATGTTGACATGATATGCTTAAGATTTTATAAAAAAGATGTTCGATGTAAGATAACAAAAGTAAAGAAAGATATAACAGACGAAGACAATAATATCACAAAACTTATACGAAAAGCTAAACGGTAGACTTTTTTTTCCATTTATTTTGTTTTAATAAATTAAATCTAGTAGTGAAATATTCAGAATAGCATGGAAGAATTGTCTTTTTTTTTTTGAAAATTCAATTCAATGTTCTTGAGAGTGTAAATTGAACTGAACTATTTTGTATAAAATTGAGTTTTGTCTTAAAGTTTTTAGCCCAAATAAAATTATAATATTTTGGGCATGTTATTAGGCTTTCGTTGCAGTTTATTCATTGTCATAAATTAACACTTGTTGGTATCAAGAATTATTTTCTTCATTTCATAAAAGATCACAGTGTGTTTTCTGTAAAGTATATTGAACAAAGATTACCAAATAAATATGTTGCAATCAAAGTCATTAATTATATTCTTAAATCAATCAGTATATTTTATTTATGGTTGTCAAATTACACATAATAATCTATATGATTTTGATAAGGAACCATATAAAAACTGGCCTAGAACAAATACCAATTATAGAAAGTATTTATCGCAGAGTGTAATTCCTAGAATGGTTTTTCTTTCTAAAAAAAATCATTATTTCATGATCTGAATGGAGTAAGATGAGATAGAGATTTCTGCAAAAATATAAAAGAATATATTGACATATCAAGAAGTATTGAACGTTTTCACTAATCTTTTTTCAAAAAAGACACTAGAGGAAGTCCTGTTTTTCCGTATTGAATATCTAAGAACAGGATATTTAATTTTATTTATCAAAACCAAATAGAAAAACTAAAAGATCATTATTATTGTATTTTATTATTGGATAAAAAATATATTATCTAAATAAGATGAACATTAATTAGAAATAATCTGTGTACGTGTTGCATATTTGATCAAATGATTATCATAAGATCTATTTTAGTTAAAAATACTCTCTTTTTAATAAATAAAGATGCTTATTACATATTTCAAATGATATAATGAAGAATGTGCGTGTTAAGAGCACAAAAAAATATATGAAAGTAACGATATATTTCATGATGCGTCATATTAAGATTATTTTTAGATTAAAGGAATACATGTAAAAAAATTTACGACCTTTGTATATCATAAGATAGATGTATTGCTTTATTACTAGTTTATAATGATTAAATCATGTTTGTACTTTTCAAGGATATGACATAGTAATATGAATACCAACCGCAATTATCGATTTTTTGCTCGTCTTTTTTCCTTTCTTGCATATTATGTTGCGTCTATCAGTTCGAGTTTTATTATAGAAAAAACACACAGTCATAATGAAAGGAATCTCTCACACAAATAACTAAACGTCGCCAATTGACACACACACACACATACCTGCATGTGTGTAATACAAGAAACCAAAGAGAGAAAAAAACACAAATATGGATGCATTATAAGAAGAAGAAAAAAAAGAAAATAATTATAGAAGACGAAAGTAGAAGCCAAACGATTCGGAATCCAAGGAGCACTGTTCGTCCATCAAACGGAATGTAAAGAGCAAAATAAAAGACAAGAAAAAAAAAGAAAATCATGTACATCATACAAATGAATAGACAATAAAAATAATCACTGGTTTTCTTCTCTTTTTCGACAACATATAAAAAAATAAACAAAACAAAACAAAACAAAACAAAACAAAAAAACAAAATTGAATGACTTTTTTTTGACAAAAGAAATACTCACACCGGCGAAAATTAAATTAACCATTCAAATGTGCTTCATGAACATATGTAAATCCATTAAATAATGGATCTTTATTTGTCACACTACCGATAAAATGTTCTTGAACACTTGGAGATACTGTTTCTTGTGTAAAGACTTTATCAACTTGACCAAGATCAGTTGGACCACTAACAGATGGTTTCCATGGTGGTGGAATTTTTCGTGCTTCTAATTTTTCCCAATCAATTTGATCAAAAAATGGTTGACGTTTTATTTCACCTACATCCTCTGGACCACTACCTAAACGTTCACTCGGAAGTTTTCTTAATAACTAAAATAAAACAAAAGAATTCAATTAATTTTTCAATTAATTTCATTGACACACTTGTTCAATTAAATTTCGAGCACGCTCAGATACATTTCCAATAAAACGAAGTGGCCGATTTAAAATATTATCATACATTTCATTAACATCACGTGAATAGAACGGTGGCTAAATAATATTTACATGAAATATAAATAAATAAAAAAAAGAAAAATAAATACATACTCGAGCACATAACATTTCATAAGTAACCGAACCTAAGCACCACCAATCAACAGCTTTTGTATAGGCTTCACGGCGTAGTACCTCTGGTGCAAGATATTCTGGTGTTCCACAAAAAGTTGCTGTTCGTCCTTCACGTCCTTCGGATGATAACATAACTTTACATAAACCAAAATCAGTTAAACGAATATGTCCCTGAAAATAAAATTTTATTTATTAAAAAAAGAAAAACAGAAGAATTTTTTTTTCCCAAAAATACATACTTCTCGATCAAGTAAAATATTTTCTGGTTTTAAATCTCTATAAATAATATCAAGTTTATGAAGATAACCAATGGCTGATGTTATTTCTGCTGCATAAAATCGAGCACGTTGTTCACTAAAAGCTCGTTCTTGTTGTAAATGGAAGAATAACTAAATTAAATAAATCAATAAGTATATATTATTTTAATGTAAAGAAACAACACAAAAACATACTTCACCACCATTGACAAAATCCATAACAAAATAAAGTTTATCTGGTGTTTGAAACGAGTATTGCAATGATACAAGAAATGGATGTCGAGTATTTTTAACAAGTACATCACGTTCAGCCATAATATGACGTTCTTCACGTTTTCGTTTGATTAATGCTTTACTTACAACTTTAACAGCATAGATTACATCTTCTGTTTTATGTCGAGCCAAATAAACTTTTCCAAATGAACCTTTTCCAATACATGTACGAAATTCAAAATCATCAGGTTTAACTCTATAACAAAAACAAAAATAAAAATATTCTCATTTTGAAATAAAATTTAAATATATACGAAGTCTTTTCAGTTTTGCCCAAATTAACACGAATTGTATCGGACTAGAATAAAAATTAACAAATTTATAAAAGAAATAATTTAGATTTCGAATTACCGGTGTCGGTGGATCATCTGTATCCTCACTATTTACTTTAGCAATATTATTATTCGTTTTACCGTTACTTAATTGGGATGGACTTGTTGGTGATTTAGGCGATATATTCGATGGTGTTTTGATTATACCAAAAAATTCAATAAATTCGGGCCTAAAAATGAAATTTATCAAAAAAAGCACATAAGAATAAGTGACCTTATCCACAAAAATGTCAATCTAAACGAGGACTACCATCAATAGAAATTGATAATTTGTCAGGCAAGACAAAATGTAATAAATCAAAATGAACGATAAAACGCAAAACAAAAAGAAACCTAATTTCACATTGTCGTTATTACGTCGAAATCATAAAAACCAATATTCTTCACCTTTCTATTTACATATTTTTTTTCTTCTACTTACATATTAACTATTTGTGGATTAGTGCAAAGTTGTTGCACATAATCATTGAGACCACGCTGACGTTTTAATACGAAATCAGGTTCAAATGAATCACCTAATAAACGTCGACCAGGTAATTTTAAATCAGAACGAACACGACGAAGCTAAATAATAAAAATAAACAAGAAAATCATAAATAATTAATCAAAATAACATCATTATTAACCTTTTCATTTAATGTATGAAATTCTTTATAACGTCTCCATATATCACATTCTTGACCATTGTAATTTACAGTTACTTTATATTTAGTAAATTTACGTCCATTTTCAGCACTTGTTTGAGCATCAACAACACGAAGTATTAATGATCCTGTTGTACTAGTATTGGAGCTGCTCGCTGTCGAACTACTCATCTTTTCTTTAAACACAAAAATAAATGTAATAATACTTAGATAAAGTAACAGATAAAAGAGAAAAAAAATGAAATATGATTATCATCATCGTCATTGACAATGACAACAACGATGATGATAAGGTACAGGCAAAAATAAAAGACGTAAAAGAAAAAAAAAAGGACTAAGAACGGCAAACATTGACTTGCACGAGAAAGATTAGACATACTAAGACGATGGCAAAACATTTAGAAGAAGACGAGTGAAAGAAATATTTTCTTGCATGATCTTGTCAAAGTCGATATCGAAAAAGGAAATACGCTAAATAACGTTGTACGTCACCATCATAATACAACTAAGAGAAGACGACGATACAAACGAACGCGACAATAACGATAATTGTGCGAAATCCTCAACTCACTGTGTCGGCAAAGCTATCTTCTCTTTCTGTTCTTCTTTGTCTTCTTGTTTTTCAACAACACACCACACGCTTCAAACGCACAAATACACGCGCACAGAATGCAAAAGGACAATGACACGTGCATTTTCATTCTCTTCCTCTTTACCATTCAGCCATCCAACAAACTCTGCGGATGCTCTCTCTCTCCTATTCGTTCTACATGCTTGTTGCATTTTTCTCTGTCTTCTTCTGCTATTCTTCGCATCTTTTTTGTGTTTGCTACAAATGTTAGGAACTCTATTTAATGAATATCTTAAGTATTATCCCTTTCATACGCTTAAATGTTCCAAATATCTACTATCCGTTCTTTTGTATTTAAAATGGATAAACAATATGTTTTTTGAAGTATACAAAATACTTTAGAGAAAAAAATTAATTAATTTATAAAAGGTTACAAAAGCCATTTAATAGACAATTTTTTTTGTCTGTCACTTTACAATTTAATTTTTGTTTTTCTCATTTTTTTTCTTTCGTCTGAGCATAAATAGATTTCTATCCTAATTAGTCTATATCGATGTATTATATCGTACAAGAAGAGAAACCTACTATGTGGTAGTCGTCATTATTTTAGTCTTAAATGAAACTTATATCAGCTTAGTTAACGATCCCCTATCATCATAGACATCTGCTTCTTGTTCTCGTCTCAGTCTTCTTGTTTTTTAGTTTGAAAATTTACGACGTCCAAACCATATTGTATCCGTATTATATCTACTAGATAGAAATAGAAATAAATAACAACGACAAAACTTCTATCAGTAGCAATGGTTAAATATTATCGTCCATGTCAATATAAAAGAGAAAGACGAAGAAATCTCTATATGACTAGTTGATTGATTGATATTTTGCATGTGAGAATAGAATATGAGAAAGAGAAAAAATAAGAAAGGTCTATCGATTAACGACATTTGAAATATTCAGAAGGTTATTACAAATGTGAATATAGACGTACCTAACCACTTTGGCATGTTTGTAATATAAGGATTGTGGTGTAGAATCAATAAAATATAATCGTATACGGATGTACGTGATCAATACTTTTCAACAATCAATGATCGTACTTCTTTTTTTTTTGCCACCTTAATGTAATAATACGCCTCGTTTAATATTATGTGAAAGTGAACATATGTCATTCATCAAAAACATTGCTATTCATTTACTGTTTAACGATAATGGTAATAATAGAAAAAAGAAGGAATCGCACAAAATGAGTAGAAGAAATGTAAGAGTGAATAAGTGATAGACGAGAAAAATCCGATTTAAAGAACGTCATAAACGTTACAATAACATCTATCTTGTTCTTCTTTTTTCTTCTTCTACTATGCTACTCGTCAGATCCATTGAAACTACTGTTACACTTCGAGTTTTTTTATTTCCGGCGTGCGTGTTCTTCATGTCTCATTCCGTACTTCTTTTTAGCAAGACCTATATCATAGTTGTCTATAGATAGTATTAAAATGATTTGTCTATTCTATCTGTTGAGAATCCTGAGAAACTAATAGAAAGGAAGAATAAAAAAAAATGACGATCATAATATTATGAATTCTTAGCTAAATCAGTGTCATCGATCTAAATCAGTTTATATGCCAATAGACATCTACGACCGATTTTGACATTGTTCTTTATCGATTGCTTGATTAGTATATGTAATTGATGTTGTCGTTTCTTTGCAATCGTTGTGATTGCATCCGCATTTTTGCATCCAAAGCTTCCGGTTACGCTACAGTTCGTCTCACTTTATCTCAACATAGAACATGAATATAGACATAAAAGAAAATCTACTATGTATTATCAAATTGTAGCGAATTATGATTCTCATGAGATACGTAGGAAAGTTCTCTGGCGTCGTTAATTATTTTAAGGATGAGGCTTTCTATTAATGTTTGGACATGAATTTTTGATCCAAATGACTATATTAAATTCAATATATTATTTCATAGATTAGTCGATATAGACTGCATATTGTTAGACCGATTGACAAAACCTTATAATATATATATATATATATTCAGTATTATTTTTGGCACATTATTCGTTAGAAGATATTAAATACGTAATGTATCCTTTGTGTATACTATTATCTACGACTAGACTGTCTTTCATGTCATATTTTCTAAGCGATTAACTATCATCATCATAAATAATATCAATGATAAATCTTAATTAAATAGTAGCAATAATAACAAGCCAGGAAAAATGAGTAACTCCAATGAATACTAGGTTTTAGAATGAACTCATACTAATAATATTGGATTTTTATTTGTCTGTTCATATAATATATGATATTATCTACTATACTGTATAGATCGAATGATCTCTGTGCTCCTGCATAGTACAATTATTAGCCTAAGTTTTGAAGGAAGAAATAGAAAAACAAAAAAAAACACGTATTATTTTATGTTTAGAATCTTATTGAATATGATTATTCAAATTAATTGATTATTAATATTACTAGTTAATCAAGAACAAAATCTAACAAATAGCTTGAAAAAGAATAAATCGCAGCATGTCGAAGATCAAAAGGTTAAAAACCAGGTCAAACGACATGCTTTACAAAACGAATAGAGCTAATAATAGAAGACTATATGAGATAAAATGTTTACCTCAAAGAAATTGGATGACTTACTTGTAGTGGAGAAGCACATCTTTAGTAGTTGAGAACTCTCTGTTTGTAGGCAAAGCAAATCTTTTTTTCTGATCACACAAATGAGAACACAAGACAATGGATTATATTTGAATTTGTACTTTATGTTCGTCCTCTTCATATGAGCACGCCTAACTACTTATTTACTCTTGTTTTTCTTTCTCTCTCTAAGTCACATATAATTTCCATCGTTTGTTAACGATTCCGCTTAGATATTAAGAAAAAGAGAAAAAAGAAAGAAAAGTAGAACGGCTCAACAGACTTTTTTTTGCATAATGAGTGTCAACTGTCTTCTTTTATTCAGTTCCGCCTTTCTAACCAAATCGACAACGACAACTCACCAGTTCACACACTAGATGAAGCACAATTAAAGATGAAAGATAAACATATTTTTGTCTTCATTAGTGTAATCTTAAAATATTTTTTTTACATTAATAAATGCGTATATATAGATTTCAATATGAATGAATAAATTTTGATTAAGTAAAAAAATATTATACATTAAATACAGACTTACATGATTAAGTACTGATGATTTTATGTGAATCTATGCAGTATTTATTTGTCCTTGGAAACAACAGAGAGATTGAAAGAGAGAGCACACAAGCAATGAAACGTAAGGCGGCGGATGAGATGCCTTTGGCTGATTTATTCCTCTACTCTATATGACGTCGTAAATTGTCATGCATGTTTCTTGTTTTTCTTTTTGGTTGCTTGTTGTCGCGATATTGACACAGGCACTAGCAGCAGCCGAAATGTTTTCTTGCTTTCCTACGTTATCTCACTCTTTTCTCTCGCTTATTTTTATGACTATTGTTATTGTACTGACTATCTATGTGGGTGCGTATAGGGTGATTGGCGCCGAAGAAAAAACAGTATGTATTGGGAACTATGTCAATACATCAAAGAGACAGAATGCTAAATATAATAGAATTCTATTTAAACATTACAGTTCAATCTCTGTTCTTCGTTATTAATCAAACAATATTTTAAATATTTTTCAGGCAAGAAAATAATCTTTTAATGAATATTTAATATTGGCATAGATTTGTTTATAAATCAACATTTGATTTTTAAATACACGTAATTCAGCTATAGATGCTTTTAATCGATTATTTAAATGATAAGAATCAAAGGCATTATGTAAATAAAAAATATAAGATTTTTTTAATGATTGTTGATCGGTATAATAAAGTAGGACAGTATTTTGCATGACTAAATCTAAACGTTTGTGCAGAATAATATTATCATGAGTATTGCAAATAAGACGATAAATAATCAATGATGCTTTTTTTTGTAAACTGATACGATATTGTTCATTATTTTCTATAGAAAATAAATCAATACAAGGTCTAAAACTATATCCAGTTCGTGAAGATCTACTGAATATTTGTCATCAAAAACTATTGAATGACGCAACTTTAAAGATTTTAGCATCTCAATCAAAATGAAATCTCGATGAGTTTTAGATTTCAACAAAGGAAAATAATTGACTAATGAAAAAGAAAATGATAATCAATCCTATCCAAAGTCTAACATGATTTTTGTAGTGTATAATATGACTTTTTTTCAGAATTCTATCCCGTTATTTGAGATCGCATCAATAATAAATTTTATATCAGATAAAACTTTTCTTCATAATAGGATTTCTCAGCATAACTTGATAATACATATGATGACTGTTGTCTTTCGAATTATGTTATATTTCGAAATTTTAGAAGTCTAACTGCTTACTTTTACAAGGAATCAATCTTAACAACGCAAAGTTCTCAGAAAAATTATTCACATATCAGACTTAAAAAAGCTGTCTTTACTAATAATTTTCTTCAATAATATTATTTTCCTCTTAAATTAATTGACAAACAACACTAACAAAATCGGAATACTGGACAAATTCGTATCTGTAGCATACAAAGGTTTATGAAATTTTCTACTATTTTGACTTTAATATTGTTATGTGCGGGTCAATTTAAGAAGAAAAAACATGATTGAAGAAAATCATTAATAAAGACAGCTTAATTAAGTCTGATACGTGACTATGTTTTCTGAAACCTTTGCGTTGTTAAGATTGATTGCTTATGAAAGTAAGTGATTAAACGTCTAAAACTTCGAAAANAATTGTTGAAAAAAATTTCTTGTATTAATCATAGATTGTTCAATTTTATTAAATCTATTAAATAATTCTAATAAATTATTTTGATTCGTATTTATATGTATAATCCATTTATCATGTAATTTTTCATAATTAATCACTTTTTGTCGTTGTTTTTTAACAAGTAAAGCATACTGTTGTGTAGTATTTTCAAGAATATTTATTTGTTGTTTGAGATTATGAGAAATAATTGTTAGTTGTAAACGGTGATTAACTTCTTGACGAATATTTTTTTTAATATTATTTTTCGTTTGATTAATATTTTGAAATGTATATAGTGTAGTGTGTAGAAGATATTGATCACGCTTATGTTCAAGTTCAAGAATTTGATTCTAGGAAAGATGAATGTTAACTTTGTATTTTACTAATTAAGATTGTTTTCTCTCACGTTCAATCTATCTAATTTGCTATGGTGTGTAGATAAAATATATTCTTTTCTTTTTAATTCGACTTTAAGTTCAATTAAGATCTGAGAAATTTCTTGTTTTATATCTTTTTCTTTTTCAATTTGTTCTTGTTTTAGACTAATTATTTCAATGAAATTTTTATTATTTATATTCAATCGTATTTGTTTGTTTTCATTCATTTTTAGAATCTTCATATGATACAAAAGGTTATTGTTAAGCTTTTTGTTTTGTTTTTTTAATTCTATCGATAAATTTTGTTCATTATTTAATTGTTCTTTAATTAGTTGATGATCAATATTTAAATAATTTTGATCAATTGAAATGAAAATTTTTGGTTTATATTGAAGAATTTTATTTAATTGACTATCTTGTTCATGAGTTGTTTGAAGATTGAGTGTTAACTGATGTTGAATTTCAATTAATTCTTTTTCAGCTTTATGAATCTTTTGTTGAATATGATAGACTTGCATTTGCATTGAAAAAAAATTAGTTTTTTTCTTATTAAGTTCTATTTGAAAACTTTCTCCTACAATACTTGTATGAAAATTAGATCGAGCTACGATAATTGAGTTTAATTCTTAATTATGTCACACGTACGTGTTGTTTGAAGATTTCTTATTTGTAATTTTAGATTATCAATTGTTTCTATCATGGATGTTAAAGATGTTGATGAAGAAACAGTTGTGACAATGGTTTTCATACTACTTTCGGATTTTTTATTTTGAATTCTATTATCTAAATCATTCATTATTCGTTTAATGTTTTTTAAATTGTTCTTTTTTCTATTATATTTAGTATAAAGATCGGTTAAGACTTGATGACCTCGTTCAAATATATTACGAATTTGATAGATGATTTCTGATTGATGTGAAGTTATTTCAATATCAAGACGATGTACAATTTCGCGTGTTCGTTTTTCTTCAAGCCTGAGAACTCGTTCATTAGTCATCGAATAATCAAAATGTCGATAGAGTGACGTCCAATATTTATAACAGCGATCTTGCACAGTTTCATCATGAATTTCCGAAAGAGCATTAAGGAAATCTATATAACGTACATCCATTGGTACAATACAATCATCATGAGCAATAAGTGATAATTCATTTGTTGCAGACATAACAGTTTTGTAGTCTTATCAATGGTAATATTAATATTCTTAGTAACTAAATATGAATACAAGTTATTAAATGATACGCGCACAGTATTTATAATAAAACAATTACTAGTTAAATTTTGCTATCTATCGTTTTTCTTTTCTTTCTGTATTAGAAATCTTCTAATAACCTATGACTATAACTTAACAGTCAATACATTCTATTTGACCGACCCAAATGATTGTTCCGTTCTTTTTCATCGTCATCGTTCTATGACATTGCCGTTCCCGATATATACATCCCAATATTTATGCAATTAGATCCGATTCAGTAATTTCGCTAATAGTTGAATGCAAACACACATTAAATAAGAACGATTGTGAAATTAACCTTTAAATTCTCTTTTTCTTATTTCATGAAGCTTCTTTATAAATAATTATATATGCTATCACAGAAAACATTATTGATCTCTCATCGTTCGATAAACTGTAAGAAAAACAAATGGTAGAACAAGAAAAGATTATTTGTAAGACATCACTGCATGACTATACAAAACGTGCATTGTCCAACTAATCTAAACTTGATATGAAGTGATAGACGAGGCTTAAACACCTACTCATATTCGATCACATCTTATATCCTTATTTGTTAGACCAATCAATATTCATTGATTGTTTGAAATAAACATCATTAAAGAACGACCAGCTGTATTTTCTATGCAATGAATCTATAAACAAATAAATAAGATAAAGAGTAATAAAAGATAGAAAAATATACAAAATAAAACTCTTTTATAACTACCATAAATACTAGCACACCATCTGTACTGGCCAATAACGTAACAAAGTGCAACAAATTAATTTTTGACTGTCTATCATTTGTAGAGTAACCTTTTGAAGATTTTGTAGTAATATATCTATTGGGTTCAATTTATCCCGTCCGATGACGATGATCTAATAAATAGTATTAAAAGCATGCAGAAAAACGGCAAAGAGATAAAAGGAATAACGCATTGCAGTATTTGCCAAAGGCCATTTACTAGAAGATAATACTAATGAGTTGAGACTCTTTATAAAAAATACCACTCATTTGAACATTGGCTACAGTCAATGGAAAAACAAGATGTAACGGAGAAATGCCATCAACAAAAAATGGATGGATTCTAATTTAAATGAACAATGATATACGATACTATTTTATATTGATTGTCGAATCAACAAATATTTAAATCTACATGAATTGTAATCTGTAATATAGCTATAGCATTTATATAGTGTACTGCTGTAGTGATTCGTGAACTTGACATAATCGATTTACTACATAAACAATTGCAACCAATAGAAAGTTATATAATTTACCGTCCAGTTACTGTACTACCTACATCTTCACTTTCAATTTTTATTAATGTTGCTAAATTCGTCAAATATTTGCATGATGCTCTTATATTACATGAGTAAATTTTTTACTGAATCGTTTCGATCATGCCAGAAAAAATGATTATTCAAAGTAAAATCGTATTGCTATTTGTGATCTCTTCATTAGTTCAATCTACAAACTTTTTTCCGTGAAAAAGCTAGAATGTGATATTTATACAACACATCTATCTTACTAAAATACTGTTGCCATTGTTTTTTATTGGTTCTATAAGAATAAATTCGAAAGATAGATGAATGGCATTTTCAAGCAATAGATTGTTAAAGAATGATTGTTACATTCTTTTCTTCTTCTTAACTTATGATCGATATTTTTGAAAAACAGAAGACATTAGTAATGGATATATTACCCGTTATTGAATGGCATGCTTTTAATGGATATAATTTTTCATTTTCTTTGAACATGAAGAAAGGATTCGAAACACGAGCGATCAAAACAGAAAAAATATTCTTCGAATCTATTCATATCTTTCTACAGATAAATGGTAATGTGTTAAACACTAATGCAACAAACCAAGAACGCAAGAGTAATAATTCATGAAATATATATGCCTATGAAATAAACAATGATTTTTATTGTTTTGAAAACTTTTGAAAAATATGTTTATAAGCAAGCTCTCGATGTAGTGCATCTCGAAGAATGTCATTTGCATTGCTCGATTGAAGTTCTTGTAATCATATTATTATTTTTTGTCATAGTTCCAGTTGTAGTCGAATATTTTAACGAACATTCTTAGTTTTTATAAAAAATAAGATTAACTTTTAATAATATTCATTTTCAATATATGTTGGAAGCACAAACATAAATGTTAAATATATTTTTTTTTCTGATACCTTAATATCGATATACTTAGCCACCATTGAGACCTATAATGTATCTGCTAAGTCTTATAGTTAAAATCTAAGCTAGCAATCGCAATGACCTAATGAAGAAAAGCGGGAAACAATGACCAGAAATCATAATACCAATTTTCTTTAGATTTTCATTATTGCAATCAATCTGACTTGTTGAGTTCGAATGATCACATTTAAACAATGATATTTGTTTTGAATGTTTTTTCCTGTAGGCATATTAAAGTGTGATTATAACATTTCAAACAAATAAATGTTGTTGGCTATGAAATATTTTTTCTAGCAAATATTATATTTATTTTTGTATATTCTACCATAAGATTTATATTTTAGAACTATTTATTTATTTTTTACCAAATACTAAAAAAAAATAAACGGAAGATAGATACTGAAACATGAAGCTAGGGATGTACCGAGTATTTCTCGGTTTTTACCCTTTTTTCTCGAGGTTGCTCTCATTATAAGCAATGCGGTACAATTTTGATCAACATACATGTTTGTAGAGCAAACATTTTCCTACCAAATAAGAGGTGGGCGAGGTTGGTGAGACGTATGGTTCAAGTTCTATTACAGTTTTACGAACAGCCCTAAAACCGAGACCGAGAGTCTCGGTCTCGGTCTCGGTTTTAGATCTTTTCGTAAAATTGTAATAAAAATTGAACCATATATTGTACCAATATTGTCCGCCTCTCATTTTATAGAAAAATGTTTGCTCTACAACATCATGTACTTCAAGAACTTTGCCAGGCATGTGTTTTCACAATTAAGCATTTATTTTACAAAAAAATGCAAAATCTTATTTTTAGTCTCGGTACATCCCTACATGAAGCTCATGTTTTTTCTATTGATTTCATTTTTTGATGGAGAAAAAGTTTAAGTAAATTTCCAATTTTAAAAGAAATACGCAACACAATGAATTACATCGATTTCTCTATATGAAGTCATACTGATTATTAGCCACTAGCTATTTGAACTAAAGAGCATCAGAAGATCACTTGTATCACCATAACATTTATCTATTGAGACAATATAATTATTATTTTAAATTTTAAAATAAGTATCTATTTGAGTTTTACCTTTATTATGACTGATAGCAGCTGTACAAAATTGTTTTGATCGATCTTTTAACAAAGTGCTGTAGCTAGGCATGTACCGAGCTTTTTTTCGTTACTTTCAAACACTTTTAGTTCCAAACCTTCAGCTCTTAAGTGAAAAGCTGAATCATGAGGCCCAACTTATCAAAAGATAGACCAAACATCGCTCTACAAAATGAGACTTACCCAAGCCCTGTGCAACAACGCCTTCAGTTTTTATAAGAATTTTACAAACAGACCCGGACCGAGCCTGACCGAGCCCGAGCCCCGAGCCTAGGCTCGGTCGGGCTCGGTTTGTAAAATTCCTATAAAAACCGAAGGCATTATTGCACAGAGCTTAGATATGTCTCATTTTGTAGAACGATGTTTGGTCTATCTTTTGATAGGTTAGACCTCATGATTCAGTCTTTCATTTCAGAGCTCAAGATGTTAATATAAAAGTGTTCGAAAGTAATGAAAAAAAGCTCGGTACATGCCTAGCTGTAGCTAATATTTTGACCAGAGATTATTTGACGATTCACTTTCTGAAGTATTTATGATGATAGATCAATATCTGGTAAACTTCTCTAACTGATGGCAATAAGATGTTATTTAAATGTATTAACAAATCAATGTAAATCATTTTCCTATTATTCATTGTTCTATGTATTTATTAAAAACCTCATCGGTGTGTATTCATCTACAGTAGAAGAAGGTAAACATAATCGCACTACATAAGAATCGCTCATATTTCATGGCGTCAATAGTGATTGAAGCAAAGCAATATGATTGACATAGGTCGTTTGGTTTGAAACTTTGATGTCATATGACTATCCCTACTACAAATATTTGACTGTCTTTTAGTTGATAATTCGATCCAGCCAGAATGATAATTTGAGAAGTAGAATCACCATTTACACAATGTGCTGCTTTAATTACCCAAAGACTTAATAAAATGGATGCATCACAAAAAAAGTGTGTTATTCATTACGAAAAATACAGTTCAGCTCCAAGTTTTGAACCTGCTGTTTCTTCATCTACAATTTTCGTGATTATTGCTGTATTGCTAGAAGTAACACATACTACACTTGAATTACATATATAAGTTACATAATGGCTAAGTGTTTCAAAGTACTTAAAGGAAAGAATAGCAAAAGAAATGGCAACATGATAGGTATAAGAAAGAATGCAATAAAAGAAATATTTTTGAAAGACTTTATATTGTCATTTTCTTCAGGTAGGTTTATACATTACCTTTTCAGCAGGACCGATGATTTAAGATTAATCATTTATTCTAGTATGAGAGTACTTTACTCTTTACACTTTCACTTCGTAATGACATGCATGATTATTTATTGTAGGTACATGATTTTTCTTTTACTTTGAATAGCACGTCTTACAAAATTTGTTGTACCAGCATTAGTAAAAAGTGAAATACAACGAGACTGTATATAACCCTGGAAAGCAAAAGTTGGACTTTGTATTTCGAATATATTTGCACTAAAGAAGTACATTTTAAAAATACAAATTACATATTCTGAAAGTCCGTGGAGTTCTCTATCATGTTGTATAATTATGTTTTTGTTGAGATCTATTCGTTACCGAAATAAATTGCATACAACGAAGACACCCCTATATCGC